TCAAACTACATGTCCAAACACTCCCCAACAAAATGGAGTTGCAGAACGTAAGAATCGTCAGCTTTTAGAAGTTGTTCGTGCTTCCTTGCTTGGGGCTTGTCTTCCGTTGTCCTACTGGGGTGAAGCTCTCACTTCTGCTGCATATCTCATTAATCGTGTTCCCTCTCGATCGGTTAATTTTCAGACACCATTTCAGGCTCTCTCCTCACATGTCGATGCTTCTACAGTCCTCAATCTCCCACCTCACGTGTTCGGTTATGTGGCATTTGTTCATCTTCATACGCAGCAGAGGAGCAAGCTTAAACCTCGAGCCTTGTGGTGTGTGTTTGTGGGGTATGCCTCCAATCAAAAAGGATACCGATGTTATCACCCTCCGACAAAAAAGTTATTCGTCACTATGGATGTTGCATTTCATGAGAATGATATGTACTTTGCCAATCTCAAGTCTTCACTATAGGGGGAGAATCAGACAGAAGTTCAAACTCTTGATTATAATATTCCGGATACGGTTGTTGTGAATGATTTGGATTCAAGTGGTGATGTTTTGGAAACAAGTGGTGGCTATTCATAAGAAAATAACGTTGTGAATGACTTGGAATTAAGTGGTAATGTCTTGGAGACAAGTGGTGATCATTCACATGAAAATAACGTTGAAAACCTTGAAAGAGACGAGCCTACGTCACCGGATAGCTCACTGCCAACTTTCGCACCACTAGCTTCTTCGTCGCCCTCACAGTTGCCCTCGCCATCTTTGAGCCCCAGTAACCATAATCAATCGCCTTCGATTCCGGATGCACCACCACCACCACCATCTCGTCTCCCTAACCATGTTAACCGAGGTATTCCTAAACCCACTTACGAAGCTGATCCTACGTGCAAAACTAGGTATCCTGTGAATAAACCCAACCCTGAGTCTAATGTGTTATACCCTGTTAAGTAATTATGTGTCTATCAGTCACCTGTCAGATTCAAATAAGTCATTTGTGTATCAATTATCTACTGTATCTATTCCTAACAGTGTGCAGGAGGCTTTAGCTAATCCACGTTGGCAAGCAGCAATGAACGAAGAGTTGAAGTCTTTGAAGAATAATGCTACTTGGGAGATCATAGACTTGCCAACTAGTAAGAAACATGTGGGATGCAAGTGGGTTTATACTGTGAAGTACAAAGCTGATGGGACGATGGATCGCTTAAAAGCAAGACTAGTAGCAAAAGGATACACTCAAAAATATGGAATCGACTACACAGATACATTTGCACATGTGGCCAAGATTAACACAATTCGTGTTTTGTTGTCCTTGGCTGCAAATCTTAATTGGCCCTTACAACAATTCGATGTGAAGAATGCCTTCTTGCATAGAGATTTGACCGAAGAGATTTATATGGATCTTCCACCAGGGTGTAATACCCCAGATGAATACAAAAGAAAGGTGTGCAAGTTGAAGAAATTCTTGTATGGTTTGAAGCAGTCCCCTCGAGCATGATTTGGAAGATTCACAAAAGCAATGAGAGCATTTGGTTACAAACAAAGTAATTCTGATCATACTTTGTTCTTGAAAAGACGAAATGGGAAGCTTACCGCGCTTATTGTGTATATAGATGATATGGTGGTAATAGGAAATGATCTGGAAGAACGTGCGGCCTTACAAAAATACTTATCTGCTGAATTTGAGATGAAAAACCTTGGATCCTTGAAATATTTTCTAGGGATTGAGGTATCGAGAAGCAATTCGGGAATTTTCTTGTCATAGAGAAAGTACATTATTGATTTGTTACATGAAACTGGCATGTCTGCTTATTAGCCAGTATCTACACCATTAGAGGAAGGATTAAAGCTTTGTGTTCATCCTAATCAAGTACCAGTTGACAAAGGGAGATACCAGAGGTTAGTAGGTCGGTTAATGTACTTAGCACACACAAGACCGAACCTTGCTTATGCCTTGAGTTTAGTGAGTCAATACATGCATGATCCTGGAGAACAACATATAAATGCAGTGATGAGGATTTTGCAATATTTGAATGGAAGTCCAGGAAAAGGGATTTTGTTTAAAAGAAATAATCATCTTGGAGTTGAAGGTTATACTGATGCAGATTGAGCAGGTTCAGTTGATGGTAAGCGCTCAACATCAGGTTACTTTACATTTGTTGGGGCTAACTTGGTTACATGGAGGAGTAAGAAACAGAATGTGGTTGCCTGTTCCAGTGCAAAAGCCGAATACAGAGGAATGGCACTTGGGATTTGTGAAGTTTTGTGGCTTAAACTTCTATTACAGGATTTGGGTATAAAAATTGATCAGCCTATGAAATTATTTTGTGACAATAAAGTTGCCCGTGACATTGCACATAATCTAGTACAACATGATCGAACGAAACATGTTAAAGTTGACAAATTCTTTATCAAGGAAAAATTGGAAGGAAAAATAATTGAAGTACCATCAATAAGAATGGATGATCAATTGGCAGATATTCTCACGAAAGTTGTTTCAAGTCATAAGTTTTCAAGTTTCTTAGACAAGTTGGGCATGAGTGACATATATGCACCAACTTAAGGGGGAGTGTTGACAAATCAATCAGATTTCAATGGGAACAAATCCCTAATTATGTGTATACTTAGTTTGCATGTATTTGCCTAGTTAGGAAGTCAACTCCAATTTATAAGGAGCTGATTGTGCATATCAATTGTATATATTTTCTCCTTCCCGTATCAATTCAATACACAATTATTTCATTCAAGCATTCTCTTCTTATCAGCCATTTTATTATTAGAGGTGAAGTTTGTTAGAGAATTATTAAGCCTCAAAAGGTTACAGTTGTTACAGAAATAAGTTAACAATGTATATCAAGTTAAAACTGTTCGTGACGAGGAGAGACAAACATACATAAAATTGCAAAAAGCTATAATACGTCAAACAAAATTACTTATGATGCTCTCTCCCTATTTTTCCATCTTTTTTTATTCCCATCATTGTTTTCTTTTTCCCCAATTTTTTTTAAAGTGAAACGTGAGTAGTAATGAAATTGTATATTGTGTATGACAGTAATATCAGGTGACATGATAATCAAATTTTATTATATATTGTGTGTGATGATAACATCCAGTGACATAAAAATTAAACCTCATTATATATTATGTATATATTGTGTGTGACAGTAACATCAGGTGACATGAGAATTAGAAGAGAATAAAGTGATTTTGATAAAATAGATAAAATATTGGTAAATGGTGATGCATAGTTAGTTGGTGGTGCAGTTTGTCTCTCTTTCTCGTGACTTATATGCTGCCTCATTATATATTGTATGTGACGGTAACATTAGGTAACGAGAAAGTCAGATGAATAAAAACGATTTTGATGAAATAGATAAAATATTGGTAAATGGTGATCCAGAGTTAGTTGGTGGTGCAGTTTGTCTCCCTTTCTCGTGACTTACATGCTCACCTTATGAGAATGCTGTGCATCCCATTATATATGCACTTAATTAAGCTCGTTACGATGTCAAGATCTCTAACCGTTGTCGGATGGTCACTCTGTGCATGCTAAATCAACACAAAAAAGCATAGAAAATATGCACACCTTGTTCCAAGCATGGACATAATTGGACAGCCCATCATGTACACATGCAACTAAAGTTTATAAAGATTGTAGCAGCGAGGTTCGATGGAGGGCGCAAAACATGATTAATTCTCCATTTAAATTAGAATTTGGATTAGCACTACGATTTAATGGTATTCTTCTTCACTTGTTAGTGAGAAGTCTTAAGTTTGACTCTCGCCAAAGGCAAATTTAGACCATATTATTGTCAGCTCATTATGAGGCTAAGCTCACCTCCTCCCCCTGGTGTAGATAATATCGATTGTTGAAAAAAATAATGTTGTATTCTTGGACATATATTTAAATCTTAATTTGGAATATAGTTATAAAATAGTGTTTTACTTACATACGTTGTCGGACATATATTTAAATCTTAAATTTAGAATATAGATTTATATAATAGTGTTTTATTGTCAAACATATATCTAAAACGTGTATCTTGGCAAGAAACATTGTAATGAATTTATGAAAATCATAGTCGGGTAATATAAACATTTCTAATAGTCTAACAAAAAACATATTTTGGACCATACTATTTGATCCAAATAATAAACTATTCATAATCTGACAACATAACGAGAAAGAGTGCTTCCTAGTAACTTAATGAGGCGGCACATATATCAATTTCCTATATATGTACACATTATTGACTGGTGGGATGTCTCTTATATAAGGTATGATCAGACTAATTTGAACTCTTGCTTGACTTGGACTGTTTGCTAGAGAGTAATTGTCTGCTTCTGAAAGACCTGGAAACCAAAAGAGTCAAGTGAGCAATTGCTTGGTATCTTCTTCAAAGCTGGATAAACATTGGACAAACATAAAGCAAGAACAAGAATCAAACATATCCTTTTGAAAAAAAAAAAAAAAAAAAAAAAAAAAAACAATGGAAAAAAGGTGAAATCGAGGATATTTTTGTTATATTTGTTCTTTTCTGAATGCAACTTTATACCTTTTCTTCTATCTAAATGAAGGATTTTTTCTGGATTCGTGACAGTTTGTTATTTGTTGCAACTTGCAACTTAGACTGTGTAGTGGGATATGATTATGAATACTTTTTTCAAGTCTTTTTCCAATCTCCAACCATTTTTTTAACTTCACACAATTTGATTTTTTTTTACGGAATATCAGCCATTTTATTATTAGAGGTGAAGTTTGTTAGAGAATTATTAAGCCCCAAAAGCTTATAATTGTTGCAGAAATAAATTGACAATGTATATCAAGTTAAGACAGACATACATAAGATTGCAAAAAGCTATGATATGTCAAACAAAATTAAACGGATGGTCATATCTAGAAAAAATATCAGTTCACTCCATGGCCTTAGTTACAAGGGCTGATGGTTGCAAAATTAGGTAAACACCATGTTATGGTTTCAACATAAAATTTTTAGTCCTATACGCAAACACATATCAGCTGCATCATTGATTAATATGAGGGTAAAAGAGATTATTGGATGGCATTTATACACAATTCAAACAATAATACGGAAGAAATATAACCCAAAAATTCATCAAGTCACAACAAAAAAAGTAGTCCTTTATAATTAACAAAACTAGGTTGTAAGTTCTTTTAATCTCACTGACAATATCACAACATGATTGACTGTTGGACTTGAAGTTTTATTCCTTCTTTCATTCTCCTAATAAAATCATCACACTTCTTGTTCAACTCCTCTGCACTCAGCATTTCATTCCCTTCCTCTTCATACAAATCATGATCGTCCACCCCAACAAAATTGTTTCTGCAGCATTCATCTTCTTCCTTTACTGTAATGAAAACCCTTTTTTCATCTTCTCTCACTTTCACTTGCTCGATTTCGACGTTGACAACTTCTTCCTTTGGTTTTGGTGCTTCTGTCGCCTTAGTTTCTGCCAATTCAGCTGCTTTTCGCCGGGATTCGATACTCTTGGGAACATGTTCTTCATTGTTGAGATTAGAGCTCCCTGGTGGAGAAGTCGCAATGAGACCAGAGTTCTTCACAATGAACACCACAAGTCCATTGCAAAGTAAAAACATGTAGTTCTTATCCAAAGTGTAGCTGAACAAGTGTACAGAAGATGTGAAGGAATTGAAGGAGTGGATAAAAAAAGAGATCAAAGAAGAGTAGGAGAGTAAGGCTGAAAACACTGAGACTGAGAACAAAAACTTGATCACTTTGTGGGATTGGTTGAAATTGAATTGGCTTGCGGATTGGATGTTTGAAATCTTGATATAATCCATGGTTTCTGAGAAAAAAAACTCCAAGCGTTTTCCGAAAACGTTAGGATGGTGCACGAATACGTTCAAATCGGATCGTACGATTGAAACAGAGCTGCAAATGTTTTCTCAGATGTGCTTTAGCCTCTGCACTTGACAAAGAAATTAAGCTTTTGGTGTGCTTTATAGAAGTTCAGAAGTGTGAATACAATAATTTTTAGGGTGTGTGAACACCGAACTTATTTAATATATTTTTCAGTGGTACCCTTCATGGAAAGGGTCCCAAATCAGTCAACTACCACTTTAATATTTATTTTTTATGACTACGAGCAAGACTTTAAATCAATAGTCTTTCCAAAAACAAAAATGAATTATTATGGTTATTCTTTTAGATGTCTTTTTACTAACGAGATCAATTTGTATGATACATGTATATTGTTACAATGATAGTATGTACTAATAATATAAGAATTCGTAAAGTAAAACTAACATATATTATATATTATTAGTACATAACATTATTGTAACAATATATTCAGTCATACACATTCTTCTCATTAAGGCCAAATAGTTTAGGTTTGTCTTTGAATTTTTGCTCTAGAGGATACATCTTGTTGAGTAGTAGCTTTCTATATTGGTAAAAGTTGGCATATGTGTACGCATGCATGCAATCCAAGTAACTAATTACTCAATGGTAAAAAAATATGAAACCATTCCTTATTTCCCAAACATTCAAAACTTTTTAGGTAATGTTGGGGGAAGAACCTTAATGTTTCATGGAAACTTTAAACTTCATATGCCCCTCAAATTGCATCTTAGCTATTTTCAAGTCTCTATATAAATTTTTTAGTAAGTTTGATAAATTGTAAAGTTCTTTATTCAAATGCACAATTACAGAATTTCTATAAAGAATTGTTTTGACACATTTAAAAAGTTATTTTACACTTCTATATGCAAGTGATGTTAGAAAATAGGAAACATGGACATTAGTGTACATATATTCTTGGTTTTTTAGCTAAAATGGTTCTGAAAATTGGTATAATTCTCACTTTGGTCCATGAGATTTAAAATCAATAGAAATGATCCCTGAGTTTGTCCACCGTCAATCATTTGGCTCTTCTGTGAACAAAGCTCCAGTTAAACCCATCAATTAAAAAAGAAAGGGGAGGTGTTTTGACAAAAGATCCTTAATTTAATGAAAAATTTTCACGAAATGACCAAATATACCCTCAGGGACCATTTCTAACAATTTTAAATCTCACAAACCAAACTGAGAAGTTATAGCAAGTGACTCTTTACTGTAGTGGTGGAAAGAACTTAAGTCCTTACATGACGGCGTGGATTCGAACCTCGTAGGTGGCTAATCTAACAAAATCTATCATTTGATAACAAAAAATTGAAAAGTTATATCAATCTCAAAAACTATTTTGTCTAAAATATCTATATTCTTTAACATTCAAGCTACGATGCCGTTGTAATCTCACTTTTTTTTTAACTTGTAACATTTGAACAAAAATTAATCTTTGGATGTCAACTTAATACTTTAGGATTGACTTAGATGTTAGAGCAACTCTAGCGTAACAAAGGCCGCCTACGGCAACTTCCTATTCAATCCCCTCCAGTGAACAGTAACTATCTTTAATGAATAGTAATTACCTTTTGCATCTCCACCCCTAACTGAATAGTCATGGCAATAGGCAATAAAATATTAGTATTTTTTATAATACAAAATAATTTTATTTGTAATTTTGGATAAGATTTTTAATCGTTCTCGTTGCGCCATATGTCATTATTCAAAAAGATAATTTTTGGTGATAGATTTTGATAAGATTTTATCCAATGCCGTCGTGCCACGCATCCTTACCTTTTCAAAATCGTTGAGAAAAGATTTCTGATAAGATTTTTAACCAATCACATCACACACATGTCACATCTGTCACAATCTTTGAGGATAGATTTCAATTAGATCTTTAATGAATGATGGCATGCCACGTGACATTATCTACAGCCTAATTCTTTATTTTTCCTCCTTATAACCCACCATCCATCCTAAGAAATCACACACCAAAATCAAAATCTCTATCATTATTCATATTTTCTGCTTCTTTCTTACAATGTCTTCTTCAAGGATGTTGTGAGAAATTGATGAGCAAGAGAAAGAATTGTTTAAGCAAGGGGAAGAAATGTTCAATCTCCAAGTGGGCGAAAATGAGATGGAAAAGGAAGAGGATGAGGATGAGGAGTGTAGAAGAAGAGATGACGAAGCAAGAAGCCAAAGAGCCTCACATTCCTGTCTAGTCATCGAAGCTATGACTCAGATCTCCAGGCTAGCCATTCCCCAAACATTGATAGAAGTAGGCAACGACGAGTTACGAATCTCTTAGATGATTATTTTGTCTATAACAGCGTATTCCCTGATACATACTTTAGGCGTCATTTTAGAATGGAATGACATTTGTTCAACAAAATCATGATTGTTGTTTGCAACCATGATTCTTACTTTGTGCAAAAGAATGATGTTTTTGGTGTTATGGGCCTTATTCATGAGCAAAAAATTACTGCTACCTTGCGGATGCTTGCATATGGAGCATCTGTAGACCAAGTGGATAATATAGCGAGGATGGGGAAATCAACTATTCTTGAGTCTCTAATGACGTTTTTCTTTGCAATTAAATTTGTCTACACCACAGAGTACCTCCGAAAACCTACTAAGATGAACTTGCAAAGGCTTCTGAAGAAGGGCAAAATGCTAGGTTTTCCTGTGATGATTGGAAGCATCGACTATATGCACTGGACCTAAAAAAACTGTCCAAGTGCATGGCAAGGAGCTTATGGGAACAGAAAATGAGCAAAAAGTATCATTTTGGAGGTAGTGGCATCATTTGATACATGGATTTGACACGCTTTTTTTTGTATTCCGGGAGCTCAAAATGACCTCAATGTCCTTGTCCAATCCCTAGTGTTCAATGATGTCCTGTAAGGAAAAGCACCAAGAGTTACGTAATGGGTCAATGGACATAAGAACCACAAGCCATACTATCTAGCAGACAGCATTTATCTAAGGTGGTCCTCGTTTGTCAAAACAGTACCGCATCCGCAAAGTGCAAAGGAAAAACACTTTTCAAGCTGTCAAGAGGGGTGTAAGAAGGATGTGGAGCGTTGTTTTGGTATTCTCCAAGCTTATTAGTCAATTGTCAAATATGCTGCCAGAATGTTTGATTTAGAGTCGCTTCGATCCATCATGATGACGTGCATCATTCTTCACAACATAATTGTGGAAGATGAGTACGATTATGATGTCGTTGATGAATATGAGCCAGACACGATGAACAATTCCATAACACAAATATATTGTGTTCATGATGTCACCGAATAACCCGTGCAACACGAGCCATTACAAAGGAATGGACGTTACAATGAAAGGCTCATTCAACGATATACTTCACTTCAAGACGCATATATTCACAATGTCCGGCAAATTGACTTGATAGAGCACCAATGGGAATTGAAACAAGCTCAAGAAACTTAAGTTCATTTAGTGTGTTTGTTTTTATTTGGTGTGTTTATTTAATTTTATTTGGTGTGTTTTTTAAGTTCATTTAGTGAGTTTTTTTTTATTTGGTGTGTTTGTAATTTTATTTGGTATGTTTATGTAATTTTATTTGGTGTGTTTATGTCCTTTGAATAAAGATTCTCTTAGTTTAAATAAATTACCAAATTAAATAAATATACTCTTAGTTTAAATAAAGTACTAAATTCAATAAATTGGAAACAACATAAAGTACTCTATTCAATAAATAAGAAATTACAACCCAAAGTGATTGGAAAATTATGGCATCTGATTAAAAACAAATTCCCTAGTCCCTTGTGAATGGAAAATCATCACCTAACCAATTTGTGGGGCTAGGACCATCTCCTCTTGCTCTCGCTTCTCTTGCACGCCTCATTCGCACCACGTCCGCTTTCTCCGAGTTCCAAAAATATTTAGAATTCAGGACACATCGCCTCTACAGGCTCCTTCATAATGTCATGATCTTGTTGAGCCCTTCTTCTTCTTTAAGCTCTTCCCTTTTTTGCCTAAGTAGCTCTCTTTCTTTCTCATTAACTTGAAATAATCTCTCAGCAGCTGCAAGCTTTTGCCTGCTCTCTAGACTTATCAGCCTCAAATTTAGCCATTTCCCGCGCCAAAGTCAATTCACCTTGGCAAGCAAGTTCTTCCATATATTTTGCATAATCATTCTCAGAAGCACTACATTTTATCTTTGAAGCCTTCTTACCTTGAGGCCTAATTGAATAACGGGTCAACCCCGACCCTTGTTCAGGGGTTGCTTTCGACACTTGTTCTGTGTCGCTTTCATGAATATGCGAGTCATGATCGGGTGTAAAGTGTAGAGGGGTGTTGTTCATGACAATTTCTGGATCGATAGGCACAACTCTGAATTTATGACAATCATTGACAATATTCCAACATTCCCACCAGGTGAATGATTTGTTTTTGTTTTTGGTTTTGGCATTATACCAAGTTTGTGCTTGAAGTGTCTACACAATGCGGGAGAAGAAATAATTATATCAAAGTAGCTAATGTAAATTTGGGTATAGTACAAACAAATAAATAATATATTGTTACCTGATCCGCAAAATTTTCTCCACTTCGAATATTACTACTAGCTTGTGCCAAGGCGTCTCTCCAATAACTAAACGATTAGCTGAGTATTCTCCAACAACTGGACATCGATTCTTTAGTTCTTTTCCCACCAATTTTCTTAAGAAAAAGGGTATGAATAAGACTCCACATTTCTCGCAACTGCATCTCATTACCTATAATCAGATCATGAGTGACTTCAACACAGCTAGAACACAACGTAACATCTTCAATAAGCGTCCAATTCGTACCTGCATCATTAGTCATTTTGTTGGAAACCAATTGGATTGAAACTTTAAGAGAAAGATTGGAATGTGGTTGAAAGTATTTGAGAAAATATGAAATTGTAGTGTAAGGTAGAAGATAATGAGAAGGTATTTATAGAAAGGTAAAATCCTTTTTTTTTTAACTTTTTTCGAATTTTTTATTAATTTTTTACATTTTTTATTACTTAATTAATTTCTGTCGTTGGATTAAAAAAAATTAAAATCCAACCCTCCAGATTGTGTCACGTGGTACAACGGTAATATATCTAATTCTTTTTCCTTTTTTTCTTATTTTTAAAGACGAATAACGTGGACCGTTGATTTGAAATCCACCGGATGATATTGTGCCACATCATCTAGTCATTGGGGGGAGGTTTGAATAGTTTTTTACCGTTGAAAATCCAACGGTCCAAAAATTTATCCGTTGAAATCCAACAAATGAGAATGTGCCACGTGCCCCCATAAACGGTAACATTTCAGACCTCTGGACTACGGGCCCCACCGACTGAATAGCTGTCGGTGACGCGCCCCCACGCGCACGTGTGCGACACGCGCTTAATGCAAATTTTTTAATAACATGGCTGACGTCACCTGACGTCAACCTTGCATCATCCAGCCTCAGGCACTCGGGTCTACAATTCGACCCCGCCCTCTCACTCAGCCCCCCCCCTCAGCCCAATCGTCCGCATGAGCAGGAGTAAAGAGTTAGAGCAATTAGGTAGGAAATTGAACCAGTCCACCGAGCTATTGAATACGGTGGAGTTGCTCGGTTGACCTCTGGTCACTCGGTTTAGGAAGCAGCAAGTAGACAAAACCTTATGGTTTGTTCAATTATTATTTTTGAGATTAATAATTTGGAGTAGTTGAATGAATCTTTAAATGTGAAAACATCTGGGGGGTATTGAACATCATTGAGTGTTCACATTGTGTGACACTTGGATTTGCCACGTGTTAATCCCAAGTGTTTATTTATTGGAGATTTTCTTAATTTAAATAAAAAAATTTATTTAAACTCATATAATTTATTTCTACACCTAATTTACTCTTTTTATCTATATTATTTTTTATTAAAGAATTAATATCTCTTTAAACTCAAATTTATTACCTAAATTATCCTCTCAAACACAATTCAAAATATAAAATTATCTTTATTTTCATTTCCTTTATAAAATAACATCTCTAATTGAATAAAATAATCTTAAATACACCAACGAGAAAGAGTACCATGCCACAACCAAAACCAATCATTATACCAGGCACAAGAAATAGATAAAAAAAACCCAAGCTCATCAATTTTTAAACCACGATTCTCGTCAAATTCTCTTTGTGAGGATTCCGGAGATTCTCAAATCACATATGTTCATCGTATATTGTGCAGTCAGAAATTATTGTAAATTTTTTATTTAAAATTGAATATAAATAGTACATAACAAAAACTGACCGCACGATATACTATGAACGGATGTGATTGAAAAATCTGACAAAAATACTCCCTAGGATTTTTTGACCGATTCCTAACTTTTGGTTATTTGTTGCAACTTTCAACTTAGAAAGTGTACTGGGAAATATATGTATACTTTTCCAAGTCCTTTCCTAATCTCCAACTATTTATTTTAGAGAACTTTAATGAAAAACTTCCGGTACTGTTTATTTTTATGAAAAATCATATTTTAACACTAAAAAATCAATCATGATACTATTCACTTTACCCTTTATTTTGTCTTTATCATTAAAACTCAAAGTTTTCAAACCCTTTTCATTAATTTTTTTTTATTTTAAGAGTAATTTTACACTTATCACCTATTTCTCTTTAATAGAGATAGAGCCACCAATGCATGTGAGTCCTATCTTTATTAGAAAGGTAATATAAATGATGGTAAACATAGATAGTAAGAAATCATTTTTGTTATTTTAATGGGAGACTCGATTTGCTTCACACAATTTGATTTAATTTTTACGAATATCAGCCATTCACTATTAGAGGTGAAGTTTCTTAGAGAATTACTAATCCCCAAAAGCTTAACATTGTTATGGAAATAGGTTAACAATCTAGATCAACTAAAACTCACTATTATAAGTTCATCTTACACATGGATAGATAGACATACATAAGACGGTAAAAAGTTATGATATCATGTTAAACAAAATTAGATGCGTAGTCATGTCTAGGAAAAATATCAAATTCATGCAATGGTCTTAATTACACGGGCTGGTAGAGCAAAATTTAGTATAAACACCATATCATCGGTTTCAACGTCACATTTCAAGTCTATACGCGAACACATTTCAGCTAAAAATTGCATCATTGATTCATATGAGGGTAAAATAGATTATTGGATGGTATTTATACACAATTCAAACAATAGTACAGAAGAAACAACAGCAAAAAAATCCATCGAGTCACAAAGAAAGTAGTCTTTTAGAATTAACAAAACTAGGTTGTTAGTTCTTTTATTCTCACTGACAATATCAAAACGTGATTGGCTGTTGTTGGGCTTCAAGTCTAATTCCTTCTTTCATTCTCCTAATAAAATCATCACACTTCTTGTTCAACTCCTCCGCACTCAGCACTTCAATCCCTTCCTCTTCATACATATCATGATCGTCCAGAGCAAAATTGTTTCTGCAGCATTCATCTTCTTCCTCCACTGTAATCAAAACCCTTTTCTCTTCTTCCTCTGAGACCAATATTTCATCTTCTCTTACTTTCGTTTGTTCCATTTCGACCGTTGCTAACTTCTTCCTTAGCTTGTGGTGCTTCTGTTACCTTAGTTTCTTCCAATTCAGCTGCTTTTCGCCCGGATTCGATGCTCTTGGGAACATGATCATTATTGTTGAGATTAGAGCTCTCCCGTGGAGAAGTTCCAGCGAGACCAGAGTTCTTCACAATGAACACCAGAAGTCCATTGCAAAGCAAAAACACGTATTTCTTATCAAAAGTGTAGCTGAAAAAATTTACAGAAGATGTGAAGGAATTGAAAGAGTGGAGAGAAAAAGGGATCAAAGAAGAGTAGGAGAGTAAGACCGAAAACACTGAGACTGAGAGTAAAAACTTGATCACTTTGTGGGATTGTTTGAAACTGAACTGGTTTATTGCAGATTGGATGCTTGAAATCTTCAGATAATCCATAGTTACTGAGAAAACAATCAAAGCATTTTCCGAAAACGCTATGGATGGTACACGAATACGTTCAAATCAGATCGTAGGATTGAAACAGAGCTGCAAATATTTTCTGAGAGGCCCGGTGAGCTTTTGGTTTTGCACTTGACAAGGAAGTGAAGCTTTTTGGGCGCTTTATATAACTTAAGAATTGTGAATACAATAATTTTTTTGGTGTGTGTGAACTTATTTAATATTTTATTTGCAGTGGTACCCTTCAGAAACCCCAAATCAGTACCATTTTAATATTTGTTTTTTATGACTAAGACTTCAAATCAATGGTCTTTCCAAAAACAAAAATGAGATTTTATGGTGATTGTTCTTGATGTCTTATTGCTTACCTCGATAAGGAGAGCAATTTGTATTACACATGTATATTATTACAGAAACAGTTTGTGTTAATAATATAAAGATATAAAAAATGAAATTAACATATCATTATATTATTGGCATGAAATATTACTGTAATAGTGTACTCATGTAGTACAAATCTTTTTTATTAAGGCCAAAAAGTTTTGGTTTGTGTTTGAAATTCAGTATACAGGATACATCTTGTTAGGTAGTAGTTTTCTACATAAGGTTGTTAAAATGTTTTTTCACCTACATATAAAATGTTTGAACTAAAATATGTTTGGATTTAAAGAGGTTGTTTAATTTAATTAGTTTGTGTATGGAGATGGCTAGTAATTTCAAGGGTTAATTTTTAGGGGGTTTTAACGAAAAGTTCGCGATACTGTTCACTTTAACGAAAAATCCTATTTTTACATTAAAAAGTCAAACCTAGGATTATTCACTTTACTTTTTATTTTGTCTTTATCGTTAAAACTTAAAGGTTTTCAAGCCCTTTCATTAGTTTTCCTTAATTTTTAATATGGCACGTTGAATTTTTAGTTTGGTTCAAGTTGGCATATGTGTAAGCATGTATGCAATGGAAGTAACTAATCATGTCAATGGATAAGAATATGAAACCATTCCTTAGTTCCCAATTTCTGAAAACTTTTTAGAGAAATGCTAAACATTCTCTCTAAAAAAATATGAGATTCTTTATGAATTTTCTGTTATTTTATGTTTTTTACACAGTATTTTATAATATTAATACGAAAATTGATATTAAACTGTGAAGTGACAAAGAATCTATAGAGAGTCCTACTTTAAAAAAATCTTCTTAACATTTCTCGACTTTTTATGGCATATTGGGAGAAGTCTCCTTAGCATTTTTTTAATTTTTATGGTACGTTCGGAGAAGAACTTTACTGTTTCATGCAACTTTAAAATCGGTGTTGAAATTGCATTAAAATTTTGATATTAATGGACTACCCAACCATTCAAGGCTATTATTAAAACATTACAAATGTCCTTCAAATTGCATCTTAGCTATTTTTCAAGTCTCTATAAAAAATTTCTTGTTCATTCCTAACAAATTTAGTCTAAGTTTCTTAAAATTTTAAAATTCTTTATTCAAACACCTAATTATAGATTTTCTAAAAAAATGTCATTGACACATTTAAAAAGTTACTTTACACTTTTATATGCAAGTGATATTAAAGAATGGGAAATATAGACATCAGTGTAAATTTATCTTTTAATGTTCGAACTACAAGGCCGTTGCAGTCTCATTCTGTTTTTCACTTGTAACATTTGGATAAAAAAAAAAAAAAACTCATGTTCTAGATTGGTTAATTGTGGGAATGGGAAGGCATTAAGCCCTAATCATTTGCTTAATCGGTGATCACTTAATGTTTGGATGTCAACTTAATACTTTAGGATTGACTTAGATGTTAAGGTTGACCTCTGATAACTCGGTTTAGGAGTAGTAAGTAGCCACAACCTTATGGTTTATTCAATTATTATTTTCGAGACTACAATTTGGAGTTCAAATACGCAGTACACACCTAACAGTGTTTATGTAGTTGAATGAATCTTACTATGTGAAAACATCTGGAGGGGGTGTTGAACATAATTTAGTGTTCACATTGTGTAATAATTGGATTTGCCATGTGTTAATCCCAAGTCTTTATTTATTGGGGATTTTCTATAGTAATCCAAATTATTTAGGAACAAAGTCAAACTTCCAGTATTATAGTTATGCAAAAATTATTTTTAAATAAATAGTGTCCTGTTATAGTCATATATTGTCTTCAAACGAAGGGGCTAAACATAGCCTCTCAAGAATTTATTAGTTTAAGATTTATACTTTGAATTTATTTGTTAATTTATATTTTCAAATCTAGCCATTGAATTTGAACCAATTATTGCAGCTGAAGAGTTAGGCCCAAAAAAAAGGGCTAAGAGAGTGGCTACATTTGGCCAACCTAATGCCCTTTTAGCCAAATAATGGTCTTGTGAGTTCCATAAAATTTAGCACAATCATCAATTGGAGATGAATTTTAACGAATCAAACCATTTTCTGGTTTTTGAACCGTTAACGCTCTCCATTCAAGATGACTCTAGGGATGGGTTGTGGAGCTAAGGCCAGGGATGGGCTATGGGTTTTGTAGACCAAATGTCACTTCTAAAATGGGATCAACAATCCATGAAGTCTAAACCATTTTTAGGACTGATTATTTTATTAGAAAACGAAGACTGATGTTTCATTGTCCTCATCAAACTTAATCATATTCTGTTCATTTTATCGACGACTTCTCTTGATACACTTATCTATTTTTAATTTCAAAAAAGTCTCAAGTCAAATTGTTTCAAAATATTTAAACTTAAAGTTGAAAAAGAGTTCAATAAACACATTAAAGTAGTGAGATCAAATAGAGGAAGTGAATATTTGGCGGATACACTAAAAGTGGTCAACACAAGGGTCTATTTGCATTATATCTTGAACAAGAGGGTATTGTTGCTCAACACGCCACTCATGGCACTCCATCACAAAATAGTATTGCAAAAAGAAGGAATAGGGCTCTGAAAGACATGGTGAGGAGTATGTTGGCCCATTCCCAATTATTTGAGTTCTCGTGGGGAGAAGCAATTAAAACAATCAACTATATACTTAATAGAGTTCCTACCAAAACAGTTCAAACTACCCCTTTTGAAACATGAACAGGTAGAAAACCTAGCTTCAATCATTTTCATAGTTGGGGCTGCATGTGTGAAGCTAGACTTTATAATCCAAATGAAAGAAAATTGGATATGAAAGCTGCTAGATGCTACTTTGTTGGTTATGTAGAAAAGTCCAAGGGGTTTAAATTTCACTATCCCAATGCCTATACAAGGATTGTGAAATCCCGTTTCTGGATTTCACTATTGAAAACTACGTATTTGTATTAACGAGATTTTATATTATTTTTTTGAATTTATGTTAATTTAATTGAATTTAGATTTTATTTAAACTAATTACAAAGTTTGAATTTTGGCCAGTAAGGAAAAAAAAAAAAAAAATTAAGGACCTTACGAGGTCACGCTAAGTATATTTGGATAAAGCTTGATCCTACGAGCACTTAGGCGAAAATCGTTCGTGAATCAAGGTTGAAATGAAAAAATTAGAGACGTTTTGGTTATTACAAAAAAAAAAAAAAAAAAAAAAAAAAAAAAAACTCTAGAAGCTGCCGGATGGCTACAGGGGAGAGGAAGGAAAGGAGAGGCGGGAGATAAATGAAAAGGGGGAAAAGGGAGATGCCTAATCGGAGGGGAGATCAGGGAAAGAAATGAGGGAAGTAAGAAGCACCAAACCCGGACCTTTTCCCCTTTGACCCATACACCTCGACCCAACCCGCACCGTTGCAACAATTATCGACGGGTTTCCTGTCCATTTTTCCGACAACTCAAACCTCGCCACTACCATAAAATGAACCATCATCTTCCCCTCTTCCATTTTCAACCAAACTTCACTAGCTTTGTCACATCCCGGGCCCGCTCCACCACCGTAGCACAATATTGTCCGCTTTGGGCCCTGACTATGCCCTCACGGTTTTGTTTCTGGGAACTCACACGAGAACTTCCCAGTGTGTGGAAGTGCTCTCGCACGCTACTCGCTTAACTTCGGAGTTCTAACGAAACCCAAAGCCAGTGAGCTCCTAAAATGCCTCGTGCTAGGTAGGGATGAGAATATACATATAAGGATCACTCCCCTAGGTGATGTGGGATGTTACAAGCTTTAACCCCAAAATTGTGAAGAACAGAACCCGTGGGTTTCGAGGACACCCAGCGGTGATTTGTCGTTTTCTGCAACCCTCCCCATCGATCCCCACCATCAAAAAACTTCCCTTGAGCTCAGAAACAATTCCCAATCATTGGTTGGAGCGTCAGAGTCCATTTGAGGACAAAGCAAGAAACACCAAATTATAGGGTTCCATTGGGTCGAGGGTGATTTCAGGGTTTCCCGGCCGAATTGGACTTTGACCCAAGTATGAAAATTGCTCCCCTTGACTTGCTCTACATTCCTGTGAAATTTGGTAATTTTTTGAAATAGTTGAATTTTCCGGCAAGTTGTGGCGGCGAACCATGGGCTGAGACCCCACATGACCTTTCTAGGCTAAATTTTGATGCCCTGATTTCATATTTAACATCCATTTAGTGAAAGCTGATGTTTTAGTATAATTTCATGGTTAATCACCTATTCGGCCGACATTTGGTTATTATATGAATTGATGATCTAACCGTTAGATCGGCACCAAACTTTAATACAAAATAGTATGTAATATTTGATGACATTAGGAATTGACGGATCGTTAATCCGACGTGCGGATCATCCCAAATTGGATTTCTAAGTTGTAAAATTAAACGTTGACTGCCACTTAAATTTGCAATTGGCGGAGATTCGACCGTTAGATTGTTCCGAAATTTTAGGATATTGTTCTAGAAGATAAATGAGACCCTTGAGAAGTTAAAGATCGAAAATCCATGGGCGGATGTTCCATATTGGCTTGTATAGGATCGTGGACCCCACCTTTGACAGAGACTTGACTTTTGGTTAATATGTTACGAATTTATCTTAAATATTAAAATCAGTATTACTAGGGACTGTGTAGGGCTTAGTGGGCCTATATTGGTTAGTAAGTTATCCCCGATAATATATACATCAGTTTACGTGTATGGGACGTCAAATTGTGAAATATATGTGTTTATTTAT